ATTTCAAAATGATTTGGTAGTTTTATTTTTTGATGTTTGCAAATGTTGTATTTTCCCTTTAAACCTAAACACAGGTACGGTCATACAGGGATACAGAATTTAGGACTGGTAAGTGTCCCCCAAAACTTTGTTTAGGCGACACAAAGAAGTTAGATTTTGAAACAACTGGGAGTAGATTTGGTAGGACCAAGGTACTAGTACAATCATAGTCTCTTAGCTGAAGGCGCCTGACAGTATTAAGTAGGGTGGAACCATGAACCTCTGGACGTGATGTCATGCCAACAATGGGAGGTTACCACCCTGCATTAAAAAGGGTCAGCCCTTAAAAAAAATCTCCAGACTTGTAAGTGGATATGATCAGAGCATCAGGCAAAGGAGGGGGGGGGGGGGTTGCAGTTAGGACCCTGTTCATGTCAACAGCTGTTGTGGGGATGGTTTACGAGGAACAGGTCAAGCCTGCAAATTTCAAATATTTCTTTGTTGTGTGCACAATGTCATGTGCATGAATCTGAGGAACGATTCCGCTGGGCATGTCGCACTAAATGACCCAAATAGGTCGTTACGAAATTGAACAAAAGACGAGGCAAGCCGAGTCAAGCTGGACCCAGAGTGCTGGTCCCAACATTCTATTCAACTGATTTAGAATGGCTAGTCACCGGAGTTCTTTTCGTGGTCTACACAATGGCCGGGTACAGCCCATCCACTGGTGTTACACTGGGTAATCCTATATGACAGCACTGCCGGGCTCACAGGTAATAGTCAGTCAGTCGGGGAGTCAGTCAGTTAGGCCAAAAAAAAGTTCTGCTTCCGGTTTCCCTACTTACCCTATTCTGACGGCCCCCTACCTTAATTGTTTTTATGGGCAAAATGAGGAAAAAACCCGAACACCATCACTTTCTTCCTTAACCCTAACTCCCTAGGCCTTTTTGCTAGGATATAGCCTCAATCCTGCAAAATCCTCCAATTGGCCTCATGGAAAAATAGCATATAGCCTCAATCCTGCAAATTCCTCCGTTATTTCTTGAATATGGTCCATGGAGGGATGACCACTGCCTGAATCCTGCAAAATCCTCCGGCTATGTCTGTCAATAGGCTGAGGCAGAGGCAGTGACATCCTGGAGCAGTGCGAAGGATGTCAAGTATAATCAAGGACTAAATTTATGCACGGCTGAGCATGAACAACACAAGGTCCGGCCCAAGACCTTGACACAGTGCGTACTCCGAAATCAGCAACGCACTTTTGCCATGTAACCTCAATCCTGCAAATTCCTCCAATTTGCAAAAAGGATTTTGGAGGATTTAGGGCGGTTAGGGTTAAAGGGAATATATACATCATTTGCTTTTGCTGTAATTTTCAGAAATGGATGGAATTGGGGGGTTGGAAATATATAGCAAATATAGTTACACTGACTTTTTGGAGGTTTTGGGTTGGAAAATGCTATAAAAACCAAGAAAAACAATCATTTTCCTGTAGTCTGGTTCCCTGACTCCATATAAGAAGAAACAGAGCAGTTTACATACATTGGGGAATTGTAAGGTCAGGGAACCAGTCTAGCTGGCTTGTACCCGTTCATAGGTGTGTAATCGATTGCAAACAAGTGCGGTGGTCAATTGGGGCCAGTATTTGAAAAAAAAACCCAGTTTTTTCCAACGCTGGTCGGCCGATCAGCGTTGGCAATTGATACAAAAATACCACTTTTCTTGAAAATGACAGTATACCAGGTGCCATGATTTTACAGGATGCTTTACACTGTCATTCACTAACAGTCCAGCAAGGTATTTCAAAATAATTTTGTAGTTTTATTTTTTGATGTTTGCAAATGTTGTATTTTCCCTTTAAATTACCCTTGACAACACCCAGACTCCTCCATATGATCGTGCACAAAAAAAATTGGCCAAAAAAAAAAATTCCCTACCTACCTACCCTATTTTCAAATGCCTTCCAATCAGAAGCAGAACTATTTTTTTTGGCCTTAGTCCGTCAGTCAGTGAGATACATATAGGTACAAATAGGACACTAGGCCGGCCCTCTGACACCAGAAAAAAAAAGGATAAATGCAGTCCCCAAGAAAAGGAACGACCATAAATCACTTGGAATGAGGAAGCGAAAGCGGCAAGTGTAAATCACTCAATCCAATCACACACAAAAAAACACCATTAAAAAAAATTATTGCCTTGAAGTTGATCCGATCTCTTCCACAAATTCGTTCTTTTCCTTTCCTGAAACCTGGATCGAGAACACTTGAATAAAGAAAAAATAAATCCCTATTGGTTTTAAATCCATCCACTAACTGCCCTAGGCCTAGAGTCAGGAACAGTCTTTATTTCTCGCCAGTTGTCGGTAATAAAAGGCTGCTAAAATCTCCAAGTTTTGTACAGGGGGTTTACAACTAAACAATACTGATTTGCAGGTGCTCGCGGGTACAAATGATGTTGGGTAGCGCGGACAAAACACGAGTTAGACGGGCTCTCGTCAGCAACAATACATTCCTTCACATCCATGGAATTTTCTTCAGCTACCGGGATTTGCTGGGAAAGCCCACCTTTAAAACAGGGGAATTGTCAAATGCATTCACGTGAGCGAAGTTCAGGCAATTCTGTAGAGTCAAGCAGGAAATAGCCATTGGGGACACTATGGATTTTGAAAAAAATTTTATGACTGTTTAGTCTTCGGTCGCCGCCCGATCAATGATAATGTGAAGAATTATCTATTGTGTAACGCTACAAAATGAAACTATTGTAACTTTAAACATATTCTGTATTGGAGCCTCATCTGTTTTTCTCACTTCATTTCAGACTAGCCGTTTGGAGTTTTGCCAAATCATACCACAGATTTGACATACCGAGACACTGTTCAAATAAGTTCAAGTTCAATGTAAGTTCAATCCAATCTAATTCAATGCAACATTTACGGTACATGTACAATGTATGTACGAACCAGGAGCAAAAGTAGTGAAAGTACAGTCATTATTTCTAAAGACAACAAGTGTTCCATGGGTTGCGCGTGTCGTCTATTTGAAATCGCAGTCGATCCCTTTACGTTTTACGTTCTTAAAAAAAGTCAAATTTGGTGCATTTTTAAACAATGACCTCCATTGACCTCTAGATGACCTTTGACCTCCAATTTTGGATGACTTTTGATGAAGCCCAAACCAAGGATCAATCCATCCAATTCTGACTGTAGACAAGGAAACATTTTAAGCATATTTGAACAATGACCTCTAATGACCCCTACATGACCTTTGACCTCAGTAATCCGATGAAGAATTGTGTCTTCCCATCGAAGGGTCACTGCATTTAAGTTTCGTCAAAATCCATGAAAGCATGTAGAAGTTACAATGTATACATTTTTTCTCAAAAACTGAACCTAAACTTTAACACACATAAGGGCTACGGTCATACGGGTCAACCTGGTCAATGGTCATAAAGAATTTGGGACTATTTAGTGTCTCCCAAAATTTGGTTAAGGCAACCCAAAAATGCCTTTATTTCATTTCTAACACTATTCCCACCTCCCCAATTACCTCTAAATAGAGGAAATTAATTCGGCAAACCTTGGAAATAATACCATTTTGAAAAAGGATACACCCTGGTGATTATTAAACTTGGATTATTAAACTCCGATCAAATTGAAAATTACTGAAGTATCACGATTCGCTTCACGAATCACCTTTTGATGAAGCGAAGTACAGTGCACTCTACACAAATTCGGCCTTTTTATCTCAAGACACAATGCCAAAAATAAAGCAGACAAAGACAACTGCATGACGGTCGGGTATTTAGCAATACAGCATTTGGGGGTTTGGGGACAGAAAAGGGCCAAGTGAATTGCCACAGGATAGCCTTGAGATGATCAATTAGCGAGAATGAAAAAAAAAAGTGGAATTATGCGAACCAGTTTGCGAAGCCAGGCACAATTCCACACTACCGGAAACTATGACCATGACAGATCAATATTGAGGGAGAACGACAGGTAAATATCACTTTGTTTGTTACCTGGGGGATTGTCTGCGAGTGATTTTGAAATTTGACTTATTTAAAAGAATGCAGAAGGAATACAAAACATGTGTTGGACAATCGAGCATGAAAGTTTGTTTCCAGTCCCATTATTCTAGTACATAGGCGTCAACAACACCAGTTGATAAAGACACCATGGCGTCGCTAGCTCCTGATACATGCTCTGTAACTCTAGTCCCAAAAAGGTATCTTCTATAATTTACATGTGTTGGACAAGTTTCTTATTTGAAGGCATGCAACTGGGAATTTAAAAAAACAAACAAGGAAATTCCAAACCACACAAGTTTTTGCACAGTATTTTTCAACTTGTAATGGCATTCACAGGCATGCAACAGGGAAGTTATACAAAACGAGGAAACTCCAAACCACACAAGACTTTGAATTTTTTTTTTGATTTGTAATGGCATTCTTGAGAAGTAAAAACGAGGAAATCAGCAGATCCGAGGAAAAGTTGCATGCCTGCATTCATGAGAATTAAAAAGGAGGAAATCAGCGGATCCAAGGAAAAGTTGCATGCCTGTATTTGTCAATTTGACACTTTTAATAAAACAAAAAAACACAAAATCCCAGCAGACTTGACTGAAAAAAGACAAACATAAATTTTACCGGAAGTCTAACTGAACTCAGTTTCACTGTAAAAATCCTGCAGGTTTAAGTAGCAAAAGTCTGACATATTTGCATTTTTAAAATTAAAAATCCTCTTTTTTTTTCACAAATGCATGTTATTGTGTTTTGTGTCTTAAGGCTGACCGGTTCACACCGGAGGCAAAAGCGATCAAAACTGCGAATTTGTGACATCAGGTCACGTTTTCACACTGTGAATTCTCAAAAGTTGAACACATTTCAACGCCATCAATTTTCGTTGCAAACGTTTCATGATGTCAGTTTCGCTTCACATTGGGTGATTATGAAACGGCCTTTAAATAGAATCTATATAGCCACAGCCAAAATGGTTGGGATCAAGCATACGCTCGCCCGGTTCCCTACTCTCCTGTTCCCTGGTCAATGTTGTGATCCCCAGCTGGAACACAGAACGCGTAATGAGAGGCAACATTGGCCAGGGGCCCGGGGGAGGGGGGGCCCAGCGAGATATGGCTTGGATTGTAGCAAAGAGCCAGTTTTGTTACAGATTTGAAAAACATGGATTTCCTACCTTTGTTTTTCGTGTAGTCCTCCTGTCCCATAAATTCTGACGTGCCAAAGCCGACAGGGAAATCAGCCTCCGATTTCATGCCTTCCTCACCCGGCCCATTAGCCAGGCCTTTCTCCGGCGTCTTCCCATTGGTCAGCGTCTGTCCAAACGTCGACAGGGACGGCAGTTGGATCCCCTGGCCGTGCCCGCTATTGTTGCCAGGGGCCTCTTGCTTGATGAAGTTGACATGGTTGTTGCAGGGCACCGGGGTGTTGGCATTGGAGGGCGGGCAGGGCGTGCCGCTCAGCACCCGGATGGGCGGGATGGAGCGGTTGTTCAGCATGGTGGCGTTGACGGGCGTGTTGACGCCACTGTTGAGCTGGCCGTCGCTGTTGTAGCCGTCAAGCGGCGACGCGCCATTCATCGTGAATTCTTAAATCCTGAAATGACACCGTATTCGCAATTTTTAAACAGACAGTTGACAGAAGCTGTATAAAGGTAATTACCAGAATCACAAAAGCTCTGGTGAATAACATACAACATAAATCAGTCCAGAAAAAAAACCCCAAAACACGTCATGATTGATTCCACCAATGCCAAAGCTTCCACAAGAAACCCTGGATTTTCAATTTTTTTTTTTTACTTTCCTATATTTTGGATAAAGTGATATTTCCTATTCATTGCCGGAAACAAAATTATCAGACCAGCCTTGACTCATTGCTCGCGGGGTTTTAAAGTAAAGTAAGCCCCAATAGATGACCCCCTTTCCAGCCCCTGGGGAAGGTTATCAGATCTATTGAAGCGCGATGGACCATAAAGCATATTTTGATATTTTGGCAGGCGAAAAACAGTGACGTGCGTGCGTCACAAGGTATTGTTGATTCCAGACGGCATTGTGAATTTCATCATTTCAACATTTTGGGGTTTTTCTAATTTCTATACCGACACGAAAAACAGGTATATGTAACGTATGGTACATAAGCACGATTGCTAAAGTTTACTCTTCTTTGAAGAGAAAGCTATAATCAGATTTTCTCATGAAAATACAAGTTGGTAAGTTTCACTCTTCGTAAAGGATACCTTTTTTTGCACATGTACATGTACAGCTTTTGAGGATTTTACATACTTGAAACTTTTACTGACTAAAGCCGTATTCGCACTGAACTCATATATTTTTGTGAGATTTTACCATTTTTCACTAAATATAATATCAGTGAAGAATGGGAAAGAATGTTGCAACCTGACGATACTTCAGCGGTTGTGTACAAAGTCTATGGAGAGTCAAGACATTTTTTAAAGTATTTCCTAACAAAATTGGAAATGTTTCTCAGTCCCAGATTCATATCTTATCATCATGTTTGCATTTGACCTACATGTACATTGAGATGATATATGAAGTAAAAAGCAGTGTCAGGTTGCAACATTCTTTCCGAAAAAAAGCCTTGTTCTGCAATATCTTAAGAATGTCTAATAGTGTTCAAGATCTTTACTGTCGTGACTTTCTCGCATATGAAAAATGAGCAAGTGTGTGAAGAACTGATGAAAAGTTACCACTGGACTCAGGAAAATTATAACCGTGAAAAAAAATTTCACCGGCCCAGCTGTGCCTACTGTGCGGAGCCATGGTCCATAATTTTTGAGCAGATTCGCTGATTAATTATGCAAGACAACCGCATCTTTACCTCTAGATTTTGACCAATCAGCGGGCACTTTCTACAGGTATATCGGGTCTTCAGTCATTCATCCATTGTCGCGTCAAAGACAATGGATTAAAAAAAACCCTAGACACAGCAACAAAGGCTGTGGTCGCACACTCTGTATTATGTTATGCGATACGTGCCCGGCTGTTGTTGTATTACAAAACACTGCATTCGAATTTACCAATCAAACATTTAGTCCTGATTTGGGAATGAAATGACGTCACGATTTAGTAAAGTCGACTCTGATTGGCTGAGGTGCGAGATCGCATAAATCTGCATGCTTTGATATATTAGACGTTATATGGAGACTGGCTCCGTGGATAACGGAGGTGAAACTCAGACTATACCTACTGTGCCTATTGGATAATCCAGGCCTGACCCAAGCAGAAAATCACCAATCTGCAGCCTACGGTATGGTACATGTACACACTAGTGTTAAGTATGAATGGTGTACATGTATGACTTGCCTATCCATGTTGCATGGGAGACGATTGTGCTCACAATGGACCAGTGCTGATTTCAACCATGTCTCAACACAGGTACGCAAGACAATAGTGTGAAAAGGCCTATGGACAACTAGCAAGTACAGCCTTCTGACAGTGACTCCCAAACTAACTGCAAAAGTAGTCCAAATAAGGTCGTTGTTCGACTGCCAAATTGATTGCGAAAGTAGTCCAGTTCAGGACTAGACACAAAAAGAACACTTCGTGAATCCCAGTTGAAATAGATACTTCGAGGTTCATGGACAGAGTAATATTTGTACATCTTCACATACACAAGTTGGCAATTGTTGGGCAATTGGCAAAATTTAATCCGACGTGAAAGCCAAGCTTAGCACCGGGTCAGGAAAAAAACAACCTGGAAACGGTGTGTGATTTATTTAAGAACTTAATCCATCTCTTTTCAGTTTCATGCACGAATGCCACCAGGTTGGCATTGGGGATGCAGGGGGATGGGAGCTTCAACCGGTTGAAGTTCGTTGCCCATGAGCTGGCAACCGGTGACAGGCGAGGCACCGTTCACTCTCTGGCACCAGGGGTACAGCTGGGCTGCTATCGTGAACTAGCAGAGCATACACTTTCAATTGTTGGGGCGGATTTGGATGAGATTGGTTGGGCACCGTCTTTGTAAAACTTCTGAACAAGGGACGCACACTGCAATGACGCAGGGTTGCCCCATGGATAATTTATGCAGACATGGCAAAAAAGTACAGTAAATGACCCCAAAAAGGACAGATTTCCATACCGGGCCACCACTTTTTTCAAGCACCAAAAAGTTGCATCCTTTATGGTTATTTCCTCCACTTTCCCTTCTCTACTCTCACCCTCTCCTTTTCTTTATTCCTATTTATAAATCAGTCACTTACTTCATCGAGATTCGAACCTTGGGCACTTGCTTGAAAGGCGAGACTTTTACCACTAGACCACGCGCACAATTGCATTGCAATGATTAATCTTTGGACGTATTTGAAGAATCCATTGAAATAAACTAAATATTCATGAGAAATTGAATATTCATAATGACATATTGCACTATCATTGGCCGGCTCATGCGTTGTCATGGTAGTCAATGTCATGCGTATAACGTACCGCTGTCTTCCAGACACTTCAATCACTTTGACTGGCTGCCTCCAACTTCATTCTGCATGACGTGTGCATCCAAAATATGATCTAAAAACAAATTTTTCCTAAAAAAAAATTCGCATTTGCGAGTCTTCCTTGATTCATCTTGGGTGAAATCACAAGGTGATTTTCCCATTTTTTTAAGTATCGTACATCCGCCTTATAATATAATAATGGTATAAATATGTGCTTGGGAGGTGTTAAAGGGAATATACATCATTTACTTTTGCTGTAATTTTCAGAAATGGATGGAATTAGGGGGTTGGAAATATATAGCAAATATAGTTACACTGACTTTTTTGAGGTTTTGGGTTCGAAAATGCTATAAAAACCAAGAAAAACAATCATTTTCCTGTAGTCTGGTTCCCTGACTCCATATAAGAAGAAACAGAGCAGTTTACATACATTGGGGAATTTTAAGGTCAGGGAACCAGTCTAGCTGGCTCGTACCCGTTCATAGATTTGTAATCGATTGCAAACAAGTGCGATGGTCAATTGGGGCCAGTATTTGAAAAAAGCCAGTTGTTTCCAACGCTGATCGGCCGATCAGCGTTGGAAATTGATACAAAAATACCACTTTTCTTGAAAATGAAAGTATACCAGGTGCCATGATTTTACAGGATGCTTTACACTGTCATTCACTAACAGTCCAGCAAGGTATTTCAAAATGATTTGGTAGTTTTATTTTTTGATGTTTGCAAATGTTGTATTTTCCCTTTAAACACTATGTTTAAAAACGGTTGGAGTCTGGAATGCTGATAATTTCCCTAGGCGTTTTGTAGCCCATTTAGGCGCATTCACAAGCCGTAATGTCCCTTTAAGTGAAGGCTCTTTAAGTGAAAGGCTGGGCATTGCACACTTTTAAACACTGCACAATGTACATGTAGCTGTATCAAAACAAATAGTAACACTGACATCACAGTGCTCTCCATCCACCACGCCTGTTCACGCAAAACCAACTATTCTGTTTACCATTGCCATGACAACATCAAAGCTTTTTTTTCCCTAGAGAGCTTTCCTTCATCAGTCTGTGGCAAAACCACAACAACAAAAAACACCACTGACTCCATATTTCAACTAATACCTGAAGGCAACAACAGTCCAACAATAGATTCTAAGGCTCTTTAGTCTGTAGACCACAATACACCCAGCAGGTTGTGTGGTGGTCAATCCTCTGGTAGTTGTACTATAGCCCTGTATTCATGTCCAGGGGACAGTTATATGCTGTGGATTGTTAATCTCCTGTGTGAGTTACAACTACATGTATTGGTAATTTACACAATAGGGCACCAGCTTTACTTTATCAGGACAAGAGTGAATGAACACATACAATATACATTCATATACAGGGTGAGTAAAAAAAACCAAAACCGAAATGTCGGGACTATTGTTTTAGTGAAGTTCTGCATGTAGCACTTTCAAAATCTAGGATATTAAAGCCCAATTCATAAGCTTTCTTTCAGTACAAGAATCATTCAAATCACTCATGTTCTTTTCAAGTTACGGAATTTTAAACACAACCACCGTTTTAAAGTTCTGCCCACAGATCACAGAAAAGGTGTGCGTTCTTGTCATCCGTGGACAGAACCTTAAAACGGTGGTTGTGTTTAAAATTCCTTAACTTTAAAAGTACATAAGTGATTTGAATGATTCTTTTTCTAAAAGAAAGCTTATGAATTGGGCTTTCATATCCTAGATTTTAAAAGTGCTACATGTAGAACTTCACTAAAACAATGGTCCCGACATTTGGGTTTTGCTTTTTTGGACTCAACCTGTATTTGTACAGACATGTAATTTGGTCGCAAATGGTATCTGGAAACTTCCAGTTCATATCAATTTGTTAGCTCACTCCTTTTCAAGCGTCCATGCAGTTACTGATTTCTAGAAGAGCATTTAGAGCATTAGGAACAACAGCCGTCAAAAAGTGCGTCTCATTTTAAATTTTTGTACACCGTTGAAAAGAGATACAGCATTCTCATTTCTTAACTGGTATTTAGTTACTGAATTTTGAGTGGAAAAGTCTGTAAAATGTACGTTAAAAATCATAATTTGATCATAATTTGCCACCATTTTGTGTGTTAAGTCTCGGTTTCCAGTAGACTAACATTTCTAGCTCCA